GAAGACTAGTAAGGATTCATGTTTAGTTAATAGCAAACACTTCCATAGCTCACGTTAAGGGGATACCTCCATATACTGTGGGTTTGGACATAGAACCTAGTCAGTGCGACTAGGAATCGACACTGGGACATCAGTTAGTTTGATCAACAAACGAACATTGCCTGAACTGGTTCCGACACCGACCCAGTCTACGTTATGTTTTTACACAGGAGATGCATTACACAGAGATGCATTGGAAGCAACACGTTGACTCCGCCCTTGATTGTGGTTAACACCGACGGCCCAATTCTGCTTGGGAAGAATTGGTCGAAACACATGCCAGAACTACTACGAAATGTCAAAAAGGTGGACCGCATTCGGGATCTGCCCACACTTTTGCTAACGTTTACGATACAAATCTGTCAGGGAAATTACGTGATTTTAAGGCTCGCTTCAACATCAGGCAAGGTACTCAATCGGAATCATCCAAAGCACGAAGTTGCCCTTTTGCAATCCGCCCAAAGGTAAAGTCGGAGCTGGAGCGCCTACAAAAGGACGGTATAATTTCCCCTGTACGCCACGTATCCTGTGCCGAATCGATCGTTCCGGTACTAAAACCAGATGGCTCGATTCGCATTTGTGGTGACTGCAAGCTGACTGCTAATTAGGCAACGACTACTGAACACCACCATATTCCGCGAATAGACGAATCTATGTAACCTTGTCGGGTGGACAAAAATTCTCCAAACTCGACCTGAGCCACGCTTATTCTCAAGTGGAGCTTCATAAATCGGCTAAGGAAGTTACGATGATCAATACTCACATAGAGCAGTTTCGTTACAACCGGTTGCCGTTCGGAATAAACACCGCTCCGGCGATCTTTCAGAAGATTGCAGACAATTTAGTGAAAGGTATACCTGCAGTGCGCGTATACTTAGATGACATGGTTACTGGAAGTACAGATAATGAAAATTTGATGGCACTCACAACGGTCTTGAAGCGCCTCTAAGCCAGGGGACTAAAACACAAAGAATCCAAATCTTTTTCTCCGATAGCATTGAGTACCTGGGGTTTCGTTTGGATAGACACGGGCTACATCCGCTATGGGGAAAAATGCAATGAATTCTGGACTCACCGACACCGCGCAACAACCACGAACTGCAATTACTTAGAATGGTGAGTCATTACAGTCGATTTTTGTCCAACTTAAATACTACTCCCCCGCCCCTGTATGCATTACTACGCAAGAATACCTGACGGTTTTGGTCACTAGAACAAAAGAATGTTTATGTTGCTGTCAAGCTGGGTATAAGTAAGGCTAATTTGTTAGCACAGTTTGATCAAAACAGGCCGATTACTCTCCGATGCGACGCATCACTCACAGAACTCGGAGCCGTGCTATCTCACAAAATAGAAGACATGACAGAATGACACATAGCGTTTGCTTTCAGGAGCTTGATACCAGCAGAGAGGAATTACACCCAGATAGATAAAGAAGCCTTGGCGATTATCTTAGTCAAGAAATTTCACCAATACTTGTGGGGAAGAACGTTCGAAAGGTTTACAGATCAAAAACGTTGATTAACCATGATCGGCGAGGAAAAGGGCATCAGCCAGATGGCGTCCCCTAGTATGCATCGTTGGGCCTCAGATTTCGGCCTACAATTACAACTGGGAAAGCGAACGAAGTCACCGACGCCTTAAGCCGCTTACCGTTGAATCAGCTACCTGGTTGCGTATTGAAACCCGCTGAACTCGTTCATTTGCTTCAGCATTTGGATGGAAAAACGGTGCTAAGTGTAGATATTTGTCAAGAAACCGAACGTGACAAACTCCTTTCTATGGTCAAGCTTCTAGTATCCCAGGGATGGCCTGGTAAGTGTGAACTGCAGCTGCGACCAAACTTTACTCGACGCTCCGAACTTGAAGTTGGATGCCTTCTCTGTGGATCCAGAGCGATCATACCACCCCGGTTGCGGCCAGATGTTTTACGAGAGTTACACGAGACGCATCCGGGCATCATGAGGATGAAGGGACTTGCACGTTCCTATGTGTGGTGGCCCAATATTGACAGGGATACAGAGGAGTTAACCAGCCACTGCGACCCCTGTCAAAGCACTAAAAGGAGCGCCCCTCCGGTACCACTCAGTTTATGGAAATGGCCCAGTAAACCATGGGAGCGTGTACACGCTGATTTCTGGTCCGTTCGATGGAAATATGTTTCTCCTCTTGATCGACACCTACACGAAATGGATGGAAGTTTTCTCGTTAACACAAGCCACATCAGAGACTCCAGTTTCATGCATGCGAACGTGCTTTACAATCTGCAGTATACCACGTGCGCCGGTGACACAATGGTTCCGTGTTTTCTAGTCAAGAAGTTTAGGAGTTTCCGCAAAACCACGGCATACGTCATGTGAAGCCAGCCCCTCGGTACTCAGCAACTAATGGATTACCCGAAAGAGCGGTCCAAACAGTCAAGAATGGGTAACGAAAATAGCCACCGGCTCCGTTGCGAACGAGGTTAGACAAGTTTCTTTTGGGTTATCGCACCATATCGAACAAAATGACTGGATGGAGATTAAGGGCACGGCTCGACTTGTTGTTTCCCGTTCAGAAGCTACGTGTCGAAGCCAAACAAGATAAGTCGAAGGCTGAGTATGAAAAGAGGGCAGTCAATCAACAGCTCAGTAAGAACGAATCGGTTTATGTCAAGTTGCATAATGAGACGAACTGGCAGCCTACAGATCAGCGCGAGGTTGAGGGACAAAATACGGAAGTGGCTCTACCAGACGGCAGAGTAGTAATTCGGCACAAAGACTATGTCCGTCCCCGCTCTGTTTCGGTACCGCAGTCAACACACCGACAAGCCCACTCACTGAGTTGGAGGATGTGCAGGATGCTAATCAACCGGAGACACAGTAATGTCGCTGCGCAGACCGAGTACGCCGATCAGTCTATCAATATCAGGCTAGCTGGGGTAGTTCCAAATAAAGGAAGGAGAAATATGGTATCCGCGCGAGCCAAGTTCATTTACTATCCATTGGCTGGACTCACCCGCGTTAGTACGTGCCAACTAACGTCGAACTAACTATTGATCAGACTGTAGAGCGTTGTGTTTGATGCTAGACGTAATAAATTTTGTGTACCGCTGGAACTGACGTGTTCTAATGTGTTGTGTTACGAGCCGAACAATGCGTTCTACTGAGAGTTGTGGTTCAGTACGGGCCGTTGTAACACGCTGCTGTTAGCAATGTAGAGTTCTACGCATCATTTCATGAGGTGGTAGCTGGATATCACATGAGTAGGCATGGCACTGTAAAGATGGACCAGTGGAAAAAGACAATGGTGGATATCTGTAATAGCTTTAAATGTCATAAATATCTGGTTGTTCGGTAAGTAATCTCGATTGTTCCCAACGTAAGATTTGGTTGTGATTTTTTCACAGCCAAATTAACACATTAGCTTCAAATTTTAGATTTTAAGAGTTAAGATAGTAAGGGTTGCATATGCAAAAGTTCGATTTATTCTATATAGTAGTTCCTGGTTGTTGTCCTTCCAAATGAGAAATGAAAAGCAGCGTTTTCAGCATATTTACATGCTTACTATCGAAAAGGTAAAAATGCTGTACAAGGAGGAAAAGTTATCGGAGGTGTACGGAGAAGATGCATTGACAGAACGCGTACCAAAACTGGTCTCCAAAATGTCGATCCAGCAATAAATAAGTAATTAATTGTATTAATTAGTTAACTGCATAAAGTATTTAATTAATTTGCCTTATTTGATGCAAACCGAAGAAGAGCAACTCACGAGATCGCTGATTAAATTTATCTAATTCAACCGTTCATTTGAAACGCCTAGGTTTCATCTCAAAGCTCGACATATGTGTTTCTCATGTTCCTACGGAAAGAAATTTGTGCCGACGCATTAATGTCCGTGAGTAACTTCTCAAACGTGAAATAATGGTCCATATTTGAAGTGCATCATCACTGGGCACGAGAAATGGGCTGTTTATAACAATGTTAAGTGCAAGAGAGCACGGAGTAAAAAAGATGAATCGGGTTAAACCAGTTCGAAAGCCGATATTCATCAAAATGATGATGTTATCTAGTTGGTAGGATTTCAGAAAAGTCGTTCTTTTTGAGCTCCTACCGGACAACACAACGATCAATTCTGAAGTGTACTGTCATCAGCTGGAAAAATTGAATGATTTACTTAAACAGTAAAGGCCAGAATTGGTTAATAGAAAAGGTGCAGTATTCCATCAAGATAAGGTGAGACCTCACTTAAGTTTGCTAACTCGCCAATAGCTTTTACAGGTAAGCTGGGATGTAGTACCATACACACCAAATTCTCCAAATCTGGCACCTTCTGCTTATTATTTGTTCCTGTTTTAGACGGTAAAACATTTACCTCAAATGAGGTCAAAAATCACCTGCATCAGTATTTTGCCAACAGAGAAAAGTTTTATTGGCGTGGAGCCATGCTACTGCCAAAAAGATGGAAAAAGGTATTGGATCAGAATGAAGAATATAGAAGTTAATAAAATATTTATTCATTATAAGAAAATCGTTTTTAATTTTCATCGAGAAACGAAATCACTTTTCAAGCAACCAGATATATTGAGACTGACAATAAGCAAACATAGGAGAACAGAGCTTCTGTTCGTTAGATTCAACAAGTCTTCATGAGTCTAAGGAAAAACGCACCACGATAAGTTTGCGGCACAGTGGTTATATCGCAGGTGACACTTCAGGATGCTTTAAGAGATGGTGGTTATGCGGCCATTAGGAATGAAGAGATATGTTAGTCAGACCTATGTGGGTGCCAGTTGACATGTTGCCTTGGTTCAATTGGCAACTACTGGAAGTGCATCGCCGGTATAAGTAGGCGACCGTGACCTATATCATAACTGGGATCGAAGAGGTGCAAATTTATCCCGGTCAAAAACGAAAGAGGATCAAAGTTGTGCTTCCGAAGTGATAAAAGTGAATGGGAGAAGCCAGAGGATACAATAATACCTGCTACGCGTAGTAATTCTTCCACGATGCACTTCTGGGCTTCCGTGTATTCCTTCCTCAATTCCTGATGCTCATCACTCAACTGTGACATAACGGAATTACGAAAACGCACTCCGCCTTTCTGCGTGTCAAGAATCTCAAAAGTCTTGAAGTCGCGAAGGATCTTTTCCTCCTGCATAAAATAGCAGCATGAGTAGAAGTGAATTCAATTACATATTTAACTACGGTGTTCAAAAAAGTGGAGTTAGAGTTAGAAATATTAAAAGTATTCGAGGACATACTAGAGAAAAAAGTACAAATGAAATGTGGTCGTGTTGGCAAAGTCAATGTAGCTGAAAGATTGCTATCTAGTTGACCAAGCATGATCCGCTCATGGAATCACGGGAGATCTGATTGCCAAACAAAGATAAAAATGGACAAAATCAGGCACAATCAACTGAACCAAGTAGATATAAAGTTAAATGAGACTATGACGAAGGGCGGTTCGCGTGTACGGTGGCAAAGCAATCGAGAAAGTGCAAATATGTTGTCAATGTAACTAATGGAGGGGCGGAATACAAAAGAGTAGCGCAGACTGTCAAAGGAAATGAAACTGAAACAAAACTACAAAGGATCAACACATGAACATAAAAAAGTTAACTTACTTTAAGTGTCATTCGCATAAAGTAACCAAGCTGGTCATTCGTTTCAAGCTTTACGGATTTTCCAGGATCTAGAGCCAATTTTTGAGCGGCCTATCGGAAAAAGAAAATTGTTAGTTTAGTGTCAAAATCATGCCAATCATACGGTAGCACCAACTAGTTAACTTTTCTGTTACACTGAGCAAGAGACCACTGGAGGTGTGTCAATAATGCACTCCTAGATGTGCGATTTCAGCACTTAGTGTTAATGTCTGATAAGTAGGGGGTGTACGAGATTTATTTAAATAGCCCCAAATTAAATGCATCACGAATGTGGAGAATGTCACGTTTAGCTAATGTTCACACACAATGAAAGTTGTTGATCTCCTTACGTCTTGGAATCTCGACTTCGTAGAAGACTTATACAAGGTTAGATGTTAAATACAGGATCGATCGCTACTTTGAAATGGGATTGAAGTGTGTGTTTCATGTTAACATTTAGAAAGCAGGGAAGATGAAACTGGATTACTGAAGCAATGTAGGAAATCTATGGTGGCGTTAGGTAGGAGCACTCTGAGTGGGGACAGACGGCGTGAAGCATCAAATAGAGCAGCGGACACATACGTGGTTAGGCTATGCAAAACACAGCTAAATGAATGTCAAGATAAAATCGACATACACGCCAGAAGTGGGGTGGGGACAGGTAACAAGGTGACACAAAGGATAAACACAACAGTTGTAAGTCCAAAAGGAACTGATGTATCCCCAACCTGGATTGCTTACATGAGAACACGGTATCTCTAAACCCTAATTATTCTGATCATTTTATATTGCTTTACTTTGTGTATTACACTCGGTTATCATATCGTATATTTCTTTCTTTCACTCTCGATTACTGACATATCCTTGACGTCCCAAAGTCATTCATATTCGTAGGTTACTGTGACACTGCCCAAATACTCGCCCGCTGTACAATTTCTGCCCACTTGCACTACGATTGCAAAACATATTCTTAAGTCATGCACTGTATTTAATCTGCCTTATAGAACCACGGTTACAGGATAATTCACTTTATTCATCTGCCCAGACCTTGCGTTAAGTCTAGGTATATTTGTTCGTAGTTTCTAGTTTAGTTTTCGTACGACGCACTTAGTTTAGACTTGGTATCGTTGGTACAACAGTTATGGCGCGTTAGTCTGAATAGAGTTAGTAACCAACCTGTAACACAAATTGACATCAAAACACGCATAGTTGAAACTCCATTTCAGTGACACTTCTGAAGTTACCAGGTAGTTGGTCGGAAAGTGTGTATAATGAGGGCGAGAAGGAAAGAAAAGGAGAAAAGACTTATGGAAATCCGACACACAGATCAAACCCATAAAGTAATGGATAACAGCTGCGATGTAAAGTCCAGAAACGGTATATCGCAACTAACATGAGTTCAGCTCAGTTGTACAAATCTGCGGTGGATCTAGTTGTCACGACTCTCATCGCCAAAAAACCGTGAATAAAGCAAGAAAAGGAGTTCGAATGCAAATATAATGAAAGGAAAACGGAATCAATAAAGTGGGTAAAAGTAAACAGAAGGAAAATTATCAGCTAGATACAAGAAACCGAATGCAGAAACGACAATGACTGCGCGACTGTGCCGTGTCTGAGAAGGTCTCTAATGACTAGTGTGGAACATCCCGGGGCTCCATCCATGCACCAGTCTGACTAAATCACTCGGGCAATTTCTTCATGTTTCTATGCTACATGATGGACTGGCCACCTCACGGTTTCGCGCAACTTAACGCAGTGACGGCGTACACTACAGGCTGAAGATCTCCCGCCTTAGAAGGCAGTCAACGGACACACGGACGATATGGCATAATCAAGGTAAGCTGTTAAGATTCGGAAATCCCTAGAGTGTGATACCAGAAGGCTTCCTGCCAAAAACCAACTGGCGGACCTCAGCATTGCTCACCTGACATTCCCACCAGATGGAAGCAATACCCCATAAGCACTGGTGATCAAAAACGGCCAAGAGTTTAATGTCTTCACTGTGAAGTGGGCATACAGTAACACCGCAGCGTTGTGCACGCTACTGACGGTCTGATATCCCGCAGCATCCATAAATGGTCGAGCCTCTGGAAACCCACATCAATGAGTGACAGGAAGTTCTTATATTGGACTGCGACACTTATCTTATGCGTGGGACTCTAGTACGCGGAAATAAAACCAACACACCTCTGTGATTGCGAATGATTAACGTATAAGCTAAATCCTCATGTGAGCAGCTGCGACAGAAGATAGACAATGTCCAGGAAACGGAAACTCACACGTTGAAATTCGTTTTCAATCGAACGTTCCAAGGAAGTCAGTCTACTTTGTAATTCTAAAGGAAGATGGAAAGATAACGACGAAAAACGAAAGAACAGATTACAAGTCACAAATGAACTTCACACACAGTATTGCACGTGGGGGTATTATGCTGTTTGTTCCCGGGACCTGCGTAATTTAAGAATAATCCCAGAACACAAGGTGGAGAGGGAGCATCATTGCTTATAATGAGATCAAGTAATTCAATTAACAACTAAAAGTATGAACTGCCGAAACACAGCCGTTAACACTGTGAACTACAGGGAAGTAAAATAAATCAATGCTCACAGCATACAGAAACAAAGGGGGCAACACAATGATCAAGTGCGGCATAAAGTGAAGACTTGGAAATGCTCAAGCGGAGTCGAGTTAGATGAGAAGACTAAAACCTATGAGATTGGCAACACAAACGAGGTTCCTGATTCCTGAGAAAGAAACCTGACGAACTGCACTCACCACTAAGAGTGGGATCAAAATCCGCACGAACGAGGAACTCATTTCGACTTTGAACAGCGTCCAAATCGATTGTGGATTCGATCATTTGTTGAAACTTGGAGAAGTCCTGCAATAAGCCCTAACATAGACGAAAGGTAGCAATGTTTAGCATCCCGTGGAGGAATCACTATTTGGGTAAAGTAAACGACTGGCCCCATTGCCAATGTGTACGATGGAAGTGTGCGGCGGTTGATGGATTAAACAGGAGTAAGTAATAATTGTTTCACATAATCTTTCTTTTGCACTCCATAAAAGCGGAACATCAGTGTTCAAAGGTACATGTGTGACATACTTTTGGTACAAAAAGCACTGAGCAGAGAGAACTACAGGCTGAAAGCACATCATATTAGGGTGCGAGCAATTTCCGCAAATGAATGAGGTGGATAGAGCAAAAACTCATGATATACAGGGAAAACTAGATATCTATTTCGTATTATGGTCTAAATACCAATATAAGAAGGTGGAATGTTTTACATAAGAGTCAGAGGGGGCAATCGGTGGTGACCTATGGATGTTAACCACTTGAGTTCCTGAGTACAGGACCGGTATGAACAGGCTCGATAAATAAGAAAAAAGTGAGTTTGTGCGACGTAATGGGTGTGATCCTCACATAAAGCATTTCCGATTGTATCAATGGCCTTGAGCGGACAATATAAAATGTGTGCGTCTATCAATGCTTGTCATCTCGCAGTACTACTAAAGGGAGCTGTTTTAAATCACAGTAACATGAGAGGGAGATGACAGAAAACAATACCCTACCTGGAGAGGTAGGATGAGACACTCATTGACCACGGAGGGGTGCCGACCACGGCATTGATTTAAAAGAGCAATAGCGTTAGGAAGACATCCAACGGCCTGATATATGCGATAGACATCCTGTAAAAGAAAACAGGTGAAAATGTTATGACGTTGGAAATTCATGAGAATATTTGTAGCTACGGTGCTCTGTTGATTGATTGGTAAAACAAACTGACGTCAAATACAGGAAATGATTGAATAATTTGCTGTATACAGGGAAAGATAATGGTTTAATTCATGTAATGAAACATATTTCATTCACAGAGGTGCAGTGGTTCTCGAGAGACTGAAACAGAGAGAATAGACAACGTCGTAAGGGCTGCCGAAAGAATAAGGCGAGCAGAGCGGGAGGATAAATACAAATGTCCCACACGCTTTGCGACCATACTGCGAGAGATGACTTTTAACCAACGACGGGGTCGGCCACGAGGCATCATCTAGGCAGAAAATAAACATAAAACCGACTCGCTAACCTGGTAGAATTCTTCACAAGTTTTTACCACGCTACAGACTGGGCGCACTGGAGTCACAATCAGCCAGAAGTAATGGTAAAAAGTATACGCCGAGCTGCTAGTCAGTAAAGCGCAATAGGGCACAGAAAGGCCTGTTCTCAAGCACCAGCATCGCAGTGAAGTCAACTTGAAACAGAGGCGACTTCTAGTATCAGGCACCCACCTTGTTTAAGGGATGCGTAACCAACAGCATTACAAAGCTCTGTACACTAACCTGGACAAATTAGTTAGCATAACGCTTTCGCCGCATCTAAGCGGGACAGTACGACACCCAGACCAAATGAGTGCGCGTTATTGACGAAATATTTGTAAAAATATGATGTCTTCTCCCCACCGAGTTGTCCACAACTATGAAGAGCCAGTCCCGAATCGTTTCCATCGGTTGGTGAGGGAGTTGATACAGGACAGAGCAATGGTCTTCTAATCCCTTGCTGTTGTTTGTCTGAGTGGTGGCCCGTATTCCGATGTCAGGAAACGGAAGGCAACGGGCATGAAAATGTTACTTGCTTCCGGTTCCGTCTTGTGTGTGATGCAGTGTGCTTGGGGTTTAGTTTGAGAACAAGTCTCATGCTGCGACGTTTACGGATCGTTGAGTGAGTACGGTGCTATATCACGATATGAGATGTGTGAGTCGATTTGCGGTTGAGCGTTGTCTCCAGTGGCCTGACGGCATATCTTGAAGCTGAAATGTCCAGGAAACGTCAATGGTCACTACTCGCCTACTATCTATGTGTTTCTTCTAGCTTGAGAATACTAAAGGTGTCGCCAAAGTAACATATCCTATAACCAGACATTACAATAGGGAGTGTAGTCTGTTCCAGGTACTGCAATGTAGCTGTTCCCAGTTTAGCTTGGTTTGCAAAGACGAATGGCAAACCCTACTTGAGGTGACATAGTCGATCTTTCCGGAAACACGCCTCTCGATACAATAATGTGCACAGTAGATTTCCCAGTCAATCCAGTCGGACAGCCTCAACTAGTTCGGGAGGAGCTTCAGCACCTATGAAGAAGGTGGAGTGGTTCTGCCTCCAAGAAAATCTGGAGAAACGTCAGCAAGTTCAATGGCTGTGACGTGAAAGAGACGCGGTATCCGAGTTAACATGAACCGCTAGTGCGAGATAAAGTTTGGTGGGCAGTTAGACTCGCACGAGTGTTCCAAGAGAATACCTCGGAGTACTACTAGTAAAGCATGTAAGTTAGCCACTCATGTATTGTTGCTGATGGATATGATGACAACAGTGCATCGATGTCGCTCTGATTTTTAATTATGCCAAGCAGGTCAAGTAGGGCAACAGCGCTACACGCATAAACCGACAAAGAGTGAACCCTGTAATGGACATCATCCAATGTAGATCGTTTCGGGAGCAGAAAGGAAGTCCTGTGATATCCAGCTATTGAACTCATTAAAAGCGATTTGGTGGTGGATATAATAAAGGGATAAAATATGAACAAGAAGCAATGTTCCCATCGATCGGTGATTTGACTATCTAAAGCCAATTGCTTGGTTCGTAAAACAGATGCAGTACAATTTACTGACCCAAAAATAATAAGAATAGAGGTCTAGAGAAAGCATGGGCATTTTAAAAGCAAATTTCACACGCTTCAGATCATGTCCACGTCAGATTCAGTAAGTGGTGAAACAATTGAAAAATTAACTGATGGGACAAAACATGCTGTAGCTGCTGGATGAAAACGTCAAAATAGCATTGAGTACCTCGTACAGATAAATACAATCAAATCCGTGAGTTTAGATTGATGACATCAATGATCAATCTCGATTAGGACAGGTGCCCCTACAAACTTTTGCTTCTATCCATGTCGAAACAAGCGCACATAAGCGATTGAGCAACACCAAATTTGTAAATACCTTACGTGCCGTATGCGCCAACGCAAACCATGTAACGAAATTCACCGATGCACATGTACACAAAAGATGTGCGTGTGCCATGAGTGGGCATGTATTCTGGCGCATAAATATAAGAGAAGAAAGCGCCTAAGGTGGTGGGAGCTGTGGGCATCAAGATGAATCTGTCCGCACTGGTGTCGTTAATCGCCGTTGCCTGCATGAGTGGTACCCGGACGTCACCGGCTCAATCAAGGGAATGGGAGCCGTTAGAACGTAAGTAAAAATATTTTAATTTCGTACTTTCTGAACACAAGTTGAATATTTATCACTAACACTAGTGCTTGATATAGTCTCGCAAAATTTCATTAGTTTAAAAGAGTGGTGTAAAGATGCCTATATACTCGATTTACTCATTGGACCAACGTTCACACTTTGCAACACATTGGTCAGCAGGAAAGGTTGTATCTCGCGTACTCTCACGGAATCGATGTCGTCTAACCGTGCATGTAAGAAGGTTGAATGGAAATGGATCTTCCACAAGACGGTTTCGATTCTATGGGGAATAACTACTCTTCTCATCTCTGATGATACTGAGCCGAGATTCCGTGTCGGAGTTCGTGAACAACCGCATATTATCCCTTCGGTTTTGAATTACGGTCGGAGTTAATTGACAGCGCCAGAAGACGCAGTGGCTCTTTGTCGAATAGCTGCAAGTCGTCATCGGATACAGACCCGAAGAACTTGAATGGTAAATTTTACCTCTTATCTGTGTCATTAATAGTAGGGACGCTGTAAGCTGTATTGGGGAATTCAGTACACAACAAAATCGTTCACAGAAATTCAATAAGCTACTTGGAGTCGACGTTTATAGGGCTAATAAAGATCGATTTCGTTAACTACGTGATGTAGTCTACTGTATTTTAACCGCTTACCAACATAAGCGTTCTCACCAAGCTACATGGCATCCAGTGGATGGGAGAACATCTCGGATTCAAAGTAATTAGATTGTCACTGCCTCATACGGTACGTCAGTGTCCCATCATCGGCAGATCCAGAGACTATACCAAAATGCCGACAACACGTTAAAGAAAGTCCGAATGGTTCAGTCACTCTCTTAGACTTAATTAGACGCTTAAAATTCGGGTTTCCGGTAGACAACAGAGCCAAAAGATGGGGCAAAAGAATTTGATGCCAAGTTGTCACTTACGAGTGAGCTGTTTGTTCAGTTATACTAGATCAAATGAGTAGTCGGTGCATCTCTGAAAAGTCTATTAGATTGTGTTTGAAAGGATATATCTTGGTAATTAGTCTCAAGATGTCCGAAAGGTGCCTCCGATTATAATCGGTCTCAAAATTGCTCCAGAGTGTTATTAAGTGACTGCAGTCAGGGAAACGGAGGTCAGAGCGACTGAGAATAGGTACTTACTACTGAAACTATTAAGACCGACATAAATTGTCAATGGCTGAGAAATATACATTGTTACGCTGTTCGCAAAGACGATTATTCAGCTGTGAAGAGCACGAGAGTAAGTAGGCAGTTGTTGTAATACTGACAAATGTAAAATCACTCTATTCCGAGAGACGTTGAAACCACCTCTTTTGCTATGAAAAAGATTTTATACGAGGTTGTTCTGCTGAAACGGAAAGGACTGCCCAGATCTGACGCACATTCGACGATGGAAGTAGGTTTAACATCCACTCTATCCAACTCCATGGGTCACTGAGAAGATAACTTGACCGGCAGCTGACAATCATCATTCCCGTCTTCAGAAAAGGTCATGGAACGCTGTGCAACAACAAATAGCTCACGCTAGATCAAATAATCGAGGGTAGAACATTGCGCCATAACATGTCTTATTTAACATTCAAATCTTGCCACGGAATCGCCAATGTCCCCCGCGCGGTGACAAATTTGTCAATGGGAAATGTTGATAGGAGGGCGCAGTGTGACTCAAGTAGCACAATAAAAACCAGGTTTCGCTACTTGGATGACACATTTGAGATCATGAAATGGGATAAGGGAGATAAGTTTCCAAACCATTAGAACATACATATATATATATATATATATATATATATATATATAAATTTCACTATGGAATTGAAATCATGCAGTGGTATATTGCCATTGCTTGACTGCTTAGTTCAAATGGATGGGGATAGTCTAGAATGAACGATATTTCGTAGACTGAAGGACACAGATGAGGTACTCCAATACAGTTCAGATAACCACGTATTCTGGAATCGCCTCAGCTGTTTCACAGAACCCAGACCCTGTGTACAGCGGAAGATAGGAAGGCTACCCAAGAGAAGCAATGAATCAATTGCTTGATAGTGGATACAAGAGGCGGTTAGTGAAACGCCAGTTGCAGAGGATTTTAAATCCGCATCCACGGAGTATTACGTACTGTATTCCTTAGGAATTCCTTATGAAGAAAGAACTTCGGTTGTCCAGAGGGTACTGAACAAAGAAGGGATTGGGGTAATTTGCCAGAAGGGCAAACGCTCCGTTCGACACTATTGCACTTGAAGAAAACACTTTCTGCAGAGAGGATAAAAAGTAGCGTCAACAAAATTAGTTGCAATGACTGCGCCCACATGTACATCGGCAAAACCGCAAGAGACCTGCACAACGAGGATAGCAGAACACAAGAGACGCATACCACGGCCAACGAGCCTGTGTACAGATCCCTACTAAGGTACAAGGCAACAACGATGCGCGCGACTGATACAGGTCATTAAATTAACTTGGACCATGTCAGGAGCGTTAGGAGGCGGTTGCTATCACGAAGGTTAACAGCGGAAGTCAACAACGGACGGGGTTGAGCTTTCGAACGTGCAGTCGGCTGTCATAACCCGACCAGTCTTAGGGGTGCCGACGGACAGCTTAGGGGTAGAGTGAAGATCAAACCCCGAACACACTCATCACTCACAGGGGATTATGCATGATGCCTTTGTAACGGGGAGCACTTTGGACCGTTCCAAGCATCACCTGAAGTGACACTGAACTATAAAGCGATTAATCTTTTACCTACAACCAAGTCTACGCAAAATGCTTTTCAGTTTGCAATAAGTGCTATACTAACCATCCAATTGTTCGCTCGGCCTGACGAAGTGTTTGTGTCAAAAAGGGAACGTTGCCCTCAAACGATACCAGCCGTATGTTTTCAAACTCTTCTGAAAGCATGGGTATTCGATCGGCTTCAAACATTTTGTAAGATGTTGAACAAGATATCAGCTTTATTGCCTTTGGGTAGAAATAGTTCTTAGGCAATATTCACATACACTATGATATCCAAATTTGGACTGATCGGTGTGTGGAAAAGCTGATCGCATCAGCATTTATTAGTCTATCCACAAATGGCGTGTGGGAGGTAAGTTCAGTTAAAACCTCTGTTGAGGACCTGGAAGCTAACTTTAGAAGAATGTGTACCTGGGGTTGTCCATAACAAGCGGCAGTTCAGGGCTACTAAATCCATTTTCTCTTCAGCACTATGAGTACAAGGGTTAGAATGAACTGTCCTTTGTTTTTTATTGTGTTAACACTGCCACGCATCAAATGACAAGGTCAGAGTGGAGGTCCCGTGTACTGAAAGGTTGGACGAAGTATCTGTGTTCCACATATTCACGCTGAGAAAGCGTTACATTTACATCAGTATTTCCCCCAGTAACCTCAATAGTACCATTATCTTCACATCAATGTGAGCATTGATAACAACCCTTTAATGCAGGTATTATGGCCGTTTTACGGAAGGACACTAGGTGGGACGCGAATGTACACTGGTAATCCGAAGAATACGACGGTAAGTTTTTTTAGCTTGACTGAATTAAGAACATGTATAAGAACAAACAGTAGCAAAAATGTGGATACTTAGAAGAATGGAACTAATGAGTTCAACTTAGTCAAAAAAACGTGTTAAAAAAGTTCTGCAGTACAAGAAAGGCAAATCGGTTGTCTAAGCAATGAAAAATAGGAGTGGAAGAGAACACTTGAATGTTGTGCACATGAGCAACAGCATCTTTGACTTAACTCGCCCTTACTCTTTCCCCACACGCTAATTTCGCATACGGATACAATATATGTAACCGAAGATAGTTCACGAATTTCGCTTCAACAAACGGCCATGGACGCTAAGTGATCCGCTGACCTGTTGCTTTAATCACCTACCATGCTGCGGACAACATCGAGACAGATCCGGGCAGAAACGGAGTCATGCGGCAGAAAACCAAATCATGGACGAACCACTGTATGACTGATAAAATGAAGATATACTCATGGTTGCAGCAAAAGTAAACATTTCTTCTGATATTTGAAACGGGCGACAGTATATTGAGGAATTCAACTGTGAAAGGTAGCGCCATGTACGGAAACGGCATTACTAAAGTAGTGGAAGTCTACGAAGTAGAACGAATGCCTCAAAGACTGGCCAGAAAATATTTGGCCCGGTGGTAGTGCGAAAAAATAAGCAGTAAAGATGTAAAGTATGACCGGTGAAAATTAAGTCGGATTAGAGAGAGGATAAAGTTTGAGGCTATCATGGCAGGCCAAGTAAAAGTTTGGTGAGTCTTTAATTAAACGGAAAAGAAGCAAAACATAGGTAACCATTAAAAACAGAGGACAAATGGCTTGAATATAGCAATACCCACGCGCGCATGTCTGACCGGTAATGCACACTAGTTTTCAGCCACTGATTTAGGGCGTCTCATGAGAATGGCAGCGGCATCCATGGAATGCAATGAGCTATACACAGACAGAAAAAACCTAACAAAGTCTGGTCGTTCCTCGCATATTTCATCGTGTTTCGGGGATGATCTCAAATGTAGCTAAACTCTTTGGATAGGGATAATAGGCAGAGATTAACACCAATGGTCTAGCAGCTACGGGATTACGCCACCAGCGTCGGACCGTCATGTTCCTCGAAGTAGAGAACAACATTGTGTCCAGTGAAAAGTATGCGAAAAAATGGGCAGTGCAAGGCAAACCTCCTCACCTATCAAGCAAGTAGAAAGAACTGTTTAGCGAAAAATGGGAAGTCTGTTTGAATGCCTCTTGGTGCTGGTAATCGAGTCGTGTTTCAGAGCGCACACAAAGAGAGCGAACATGTTCACATTCAATCGGATGAAAAGAGACTAAACAATGAGGTAGTGTAACCTAAAAACGTAGACTCGATGTAAGTCAAAATGTTTTGTTGAACAAAAAACACTTCTATGGCTACCGCACAGTTAAGAAAAGAAAATCTAGATTTAGGTGTAGTGGGAAGTCAGAGTTGAAGGCAAACTAAGGAAATTTATTGCTACTAATGAATAGAAAGATTAACGACGAAGAAATGCGAGAAACATAAGATAAATGGAGCTTGGTTAGGGACCATAGTCACGGGGTGCTTCTAAGCCGAACCATTAACGCAACCAGAGTAGCACTGCTGATCAGCGCCTAGACAGGTCACATTTACCAGAATCGCATGTTATAGAAGATATCGGAAAAGTCCCCAAGTGATTGCGAAAGGGAGCCAGATCAGAAGGGGGATGAACGTGTTAGCAGATCTTTACGAATCACTTGCAAAAATACAGAAATATTATAAACCATAGGCTGGTGCAGTCGCTTGGGAAAAGACTAAAATATATGTAGATATGTTAAAACGGCTGGCAAGAATGTGGTTAAAAGAGGAGAGGTGCGCTTGAATGAAGAGAAGAAAAATTGCCTCAACTGATGCGCAAAGCGAACAGACGCAAGTGCGCTTAGGAAAGGTAAAAAGAAATAGGTCCAACAATCGCTTTTTCCTCCGTGTTTATAGTGTAACGATACATAACCGCATGTAACAGAAACGGCTTATGACTGCATGGTTATATCAACCAGTTTAAACTACGAATTCTATGCAAATTTAAAATTGACCGAGCCGCAGGTTAGTATGGTGAAATGAGGTGTTGAAATGCATGTAGAAAACGAACTAACTTGGAGACCTGCAGCTTGTTTCTTCTGAAGTTTTCTGGACAAACGTTGAAAGTCTGGCATTCTACGAAGAAAATCCTCATGGAGAGTTCGACGAACTCCTGCCTCCGAAACTAAGGTTTCGACCAAATCCAACTTTTCATCTAGAATTAATCGATGGATTGTGGATGACGCTATATAATAGATAATGTTCACGGAGGTAAAAATGCAAAATAGGTAGCTTTACATATCATTGTCAAGCAAAGTAGATGGAAGCTGTTGATTTCCTGGGTTGCGTCAACTCTGACAAATAAACGTCATCCTTCTCTATACCATGGCATGAGATCTGAGTGGCTAAGGAGAGACACAATCCACGTGGAAGCTTCAACTGGTGCAAAGAAGCCAAACAAACGGGGGTTGGAAGTTGTGCGATGAGTAAAATGATAAGCTGAGGTCAACCAAAGAAAACTACCAGCCGTCGAACCGACAACGTGATTTAGGGCCGGTATACAAAGTGGCAAAATGCTGAAGGCGCAGATTCGGCGCGAGACTAAAAACCCCAAGCAAGGAAATTTCGTATAACATACTTATTTTGTTTGTATCCGTAAGTGGCTGGCGCAACCGTTGAGCCAATAAACGCTGTCCCTGTGGTGTTCGACAGTAATTAAGAACGCCGTACACGCTCTGGTAACGATTCCCTGAAGTGAACAAAAGGTGGATACATTTAAATGATGAAAGTGATTGAGAGCATGCAATCATTTAGGCGAAAGAAAGTGGCGCAAGACCCAAATATTGCAAATAGCGACTGTAAAGGTATATGTGCAGAATGCGAGTGAGGCATAATAGCTATTTACAGAAAGGTAAACCGCTCACTATCATCCGGTCCAGGAAGCAAATGCAAAGCCCCAAGGGCAGCCGTGTCAAGACGCACGTAATTTTCTAGGCTAAAAGGTTCCAACTTGAATGCGCAAGCATTGGATTCATCCGCTTTCAGCTGCAAAAAGAAGGCAATTCAATCAATTGAAAAATAATGCAGCAATAATGAAACCACGATTAGCAGACGTTGATGGAAGGGATTCAATCTTTATTGACAAGTCCACATCAACACAGCCGGTCGACATGTAACTGACTGGAGCAAACAAAATTCAGTTTAAATAAAAGTGAATTCCTTATATCTCAACCAGTTAGGCAGCCATGTGGCAAATGCATGTGCAGTTATCTAGAGGCACAAACTTAGGTCGAAATCCCATTTCGAAAAAGAAATGCACAAGACTGAAGAGTTCCGAGGAGAAAACGGCTGTTTTATGCCCTTAACGATTTAGGTGGTTATCTGATTGGATCCAGTCGTGCCGAATACTGTTTAGACTCGATTTGTTAGACATGATTTGCGCACCAGTTTGTAGAGGACTCAGATGCCTTGATTCGGGTTGTAAAAATAAAGAAAGTAGATAGCAACGGAACAGACAGATAACAAACACGAAATCGGTTGAAAAATAACCGAGAAAAACACGAAGCGTCGGAGAGTGTTATAGTAGTTAAAGACAAGAGAGAAGGAAATGACACCACCGGCGTTAGAAGAGCAATAATAACTCCAGTACACTTACGCTAACTGCCTAACAGAACAGTATGTTGTGCGCATTCATTGTGGCATTTTTCGTGTCAGTTTGTCATCCCCATTGACTGTTTACGCTCGGTTTCTGAGTGCAAACAAATATGCTGTCCTGACGCTAACGCTATCACTTTCCGTTATTGGTGTGCATTTGAATGGTCCCTTAGTTGTTCGGTCCTAACTAGCTTCGTCTGTTCGCACACGTTCAGTACACTAGTCAGCTATCATTTATGCGCCATGCTGTTAACAGTGCCGTTTCCTGATGAAAATGACGATGAATCATGTTACTGCTCGTTTGTGTTCTCACTACCGGTAATGAGTGGAAGCAGTCGTAAACGTCAATACACAACTGATTCCTAAGCTATGTCAAGCTAGGCAGGGCATCCGACGAAGGTAATGCAGTCAGAGGATTTCATAAGAGACGGAATGCATAAACACCAAATGATCCTACGGACAATCCTCTTAATTCTTTTATTGACTGATATTGCCCACGAATTTAAGACTGTGACAGTGAGTGAAAAATGCGCACTTACAAGTCGACACCTTCAGACGCTATGCGAACTGGGTACTAAGAAGGTAGCTGTGATGAAACCGAATAAGAGTTGTGGAGTGGTGGTCATGAACAAGGCAGAGTGCGCTCAGAAAAGGAGCAAATTTGAAAGGTCTAAGAAGATGAGGAACGTAGTCGACATTGAAGCCTGCATAGCTACCCACCTTGAAATATTTCTTCTCCATCGTGTGATTGATAGTGACATCTACGACCGTTTGAAGCCAAGAGTCAGCACTACTCCATAGTTGTATATGTCGCCGAAAACGCGCAAAAAGCGGTGCCACTTAGACCAATGATATCGATGGTAAATGCGCCGCAGCACAAATTCGCTCGCTGTCTAGTGAAGATCCTTTCACCGCTGCGACATGCGGCCAATCCCTGGAGTCTTAAGGATTCCTTTCAACTTATCGATGATTTGGATAACCTCAGAATGACCGATAAGGTTGTGCTCATTGGATGCAGAATCTCTGTTCAATAAAGTTCCACTACACCAGGCAGTCGATTACATCCGTGAATTAGCTGAGCAATCTGCTTGTTCGTTATCAATACCAGCCGAACTTCTAAAAGAATCCTTGCTGCTGTGCACTGAAAATGTGAGCTTCCACTTTCAGAATACGGCATACCGTCAAATCGAGTATAGGGCCTAATAGACCCTGTACTCACTAAGTTCCTTACGTTAATCCCAGAAAGAAGCATATGCACAGAAATATCCAAGCTGCCATACTATAAGCTCTATGTGGATGACATACTGATCTTTTGTTCATCGGAGCAGCAGATCGTGCAGTTGGTGGAGCAGCTTAACGGCGCACATGCCAATTTGCGGGTCAACTGTGAGGTGGAGCAGAACTGTCTGCCATTCATGGACATCCTTACCAGTCGCAGGGATGATGGACTAATTAATAGGTCCGTCTTCAGAAAAGCTACATTTTCCGGCCAGTACTTGCAGTTCACTAGCTTCATACCAGTGCGGTACAAACAGACACTTGTAAAAACTGTAGTTAGTCGCGCAAGACGATTTTACTCGGCGGATTGTCTTGCCGAAGAGCTAGAGTGAATTACAACTACGCTCATGGCGAATGGTTATGCTTGCAGATTCATAGAGAAACACAGTCAACAATTAGGCCTAAAGGACTTGGTGCATTTAGCAGGCAAAAAAAGCAGTCTATATCGTGTTGCCTTTCAAGGGTCAGTGCATTATACTGAAGATCACCAAATGCTTAATTTTTGCTACATAGAGAAACTACCACGCTGCCCAAGTTGTGGTCTTTAACTGAACTAGAAAGTTACCTGCTCCTCCATAGAAGAAAGCAGAGTCGATCGGGGCCAATTCACAATGCATATATGAATTCGAGCGGGACTGCGGATCCAGTTACATAGGCAGAACTAATCGGTCTTCGACTTCTCAAATAAGGGAACACGTGACTAACATCCCGGCCCCCAGAATCTTCGTATTCGCGTAGGTCGCCAGTCTCCTCAATAAGCAGACACCTACTGATCACGCGCCACCGGACATAGCTCGGATCAGCATTCAAAATCGCGTTACGTCACTCTAATCCGTACTTCCTCCGTTTCGCCAAGGCTGTGGCAATAAGCCGGTTGAAGCCAGTCCTGTTTGTTAAAACACAATTATTTGTGAGCTGAAAGCTGCCGTGGACATAGGGGTGAAACTTCCGTCATTCCTTTTGCGAATCAAGCTTGTGGGGTCACACTCATTGTTATTTACGCAGTTGCATACCGATTCTGGTACTGAGGAGACAATACGAAAAGCGTGCATCCACCAGATCTCGTCGTTTTACCACATTGTTCAAATTGCTAAGGGGAATTAACTGCAGTAAAATTCTCTTAAGCTCTTCGAAAGGATTAGCAGATAACCATTCTGCGACTTAATTGGATGCAGCATCGGTAAAATGCAAGCATGGAAGGTGAGCAAACAGCGCAGGTGGTGCAAATTTAAAAACGGTTGTGATGAAGATCCAAATACTATGGTATACAGTGGTTAGCGGACGCAGCATTACCCACCTGGTAAGGCCACTGTACGAAAAAGGCGCTGCAGACGTCAGTGGCCCAACAAAGAGAATCGTTCTAGCTTGTGGAAAGAACATCTCCGAGATGACAGCCTATGGTGAGCTGAGGGTGGTGGTGGCTAGATCTTGACAGATAGTCTACCCAGTGCTGCTACTGTTGTGCCATGGGCTCATGTCCTGGACGCCTCCACGTGGCGACCGCTGGGTGAAAGTTGGGTTATGCCCTTCTACTTGATAAGATAAAGGACACCAATCCGCATGAGTCAGTGAACTGACCATTTGCTAGACCCGCTGCCTTTCGGGTGTACATTTAATCGAAGGTTTTGGCTGAGGACCCGAGTCGTTCTCCTGTCAGGTGTGGGCACCCTTCCAGTATCTTAGTCCATCCTCTTCCGAGGTTGGGAAGTGGTCGATGGCCCACTTCCCGTAAAACCAAGCTATGGGAGGCAACAGGTCCAGGGGCTATAAGCTCACAGCTCGATTGGCGTAGAGCACGAGCGCCACGCATTGTTTCTGACGGTGGGAGGGCACCACCGAGTGCTCAATCGTTTGTTACTTCCCGCCTCAAAACAAGCAGCTCCTGGTCAAATTGGTGCCAACCCGCCAAAAACCCACCTGCGTCTGGCCGTGGTCGCAAAACATATATGAATCGTTCCAGTACCTCAAAGGCTGCGTGTGACGGCCGTCAAGCAGATCCCAATCCATCTCTGCAATCACATTCCCGGAGCTGGATCTGCTCCCCATTGCCATGTGGGTCAGGCTATTGAATCAAAGTCTCCGGGTGGAGTTCTTCAAGCAAACCTCCGAAGCACAACGACCACCTCGCGTGCGATCACCCATCAATGCAATCATATGCCTGCGCGCAAAGCACTCAGCATCGGGTGCTGGAACGTGCGCACACTACTGGACCGGAACACGAGTGAACGTCCCGAGCGACGCAGTGCACTGGTCGCGATGGAAAGGCACGCTACCACATGGATATTGCGGCGCTCAGTGAGACTCGGCTCGCTGAGCAATGTAAGTTGCATGAAGCAGGTGCTGGCTACACATTCTACTGGGTGGGCAACGCCGCCTCAGCACCAAGTGATCATTGGGGCCGGATTTGCAATATCAGATCGTCGCCATGGCCAGCTCGTGGGTGAAACAACAGGCATCAGTGCGCGACTGATGACTGCTTGCGTAGGACTCGGAAGAGGCAGGTTTGCCCACATGTGTGACACGCGTGATCAATTCTGCACTCAATTATCCTCCGTGATACGGTCTGTGCCGAGGAGCGACCGACTATTTCTGCTGGGTGATTGCAACGCGCGCGTTGGGCGTGATGCATCGGTGTAGACAGATGTTATTGGTCCACATGGCATTGATTCAGCGAATGCGAACGGTGATAGGCTGCTCTCACTGTGTGCCACTCACGGCCTGACGATCACGAACACTCGGTTTGCACCGAGCGCGAGCGATGTAGCAAGTTGGACGCAACAGGGAGTGGTTAGGCTTAACTGCTCGAATATGTCATCGAAAGTCAGAGTGATTTCCGTGAAGTGCGCGTGACATGTATCGTGCGTGGAGCTGAGTGTGGCACTGATTACAAATTGGTTCGGACCAAATTGTACATGTATTTTCGTAAATCAACGTATTGCACTCCCACCGTGAATCGGCGTAAATTTAACATTCCCTCCCTCGGTACTGTGGCGAAGCCTATTGAGATGGGGAAGGCGATGACTGCACAACCGTGTGAGCTGGAATGTATGGCCGCAGTGGGTGACCTGTGGGACCAGATTCGCGACAAGGTGACAGCTGCTGCCGAGGAGACCATCGAACGCGCAAACTGTAAGCTGCCTGATTAGTTTGATGAGAATAATGCGATGATCGGCGCATTGGTGTGTGAGAAGAATGCAACATTTGCTCACATGTCGCAGATCCCAGTAAATCGGGGAAGAAGAGAACGTTTGAGCGAATTTGACGACGACTGACCTGAGAGTACCGTCGCATTAAAAATGCATGGTGGACGGAAAAGGCGAAGCACATGGTGTGTCACACCGAACGCTGCAAACACAAGGAATTCTTTGACTTTGAAGGTGGTGTGTGGACCGAGATCGGAGCCGCTAAGGACGCTGATCGGTGGTAGTTCAGGCGTTACCTGCACACAGAGAGCAAATCTAGCAAAAACACTTTGACCGTCTCTTGAACAATCGTTCAGAGATCGACCGGCTTACATTGAACGGCCTGAAGTAGCAAGATGTGAAGGATGGTATTGCGGACATGCCGACACTGGATAATATGCAGAGAGCAATTGCTCAGCTGCGAAACGGTAAGCGCACCGGTGCCAACGGGATCCTGCCTGAAGTATTGAAACACGGCGGACCCGCGTTGTTGACTGCCCTGCACCACTTGGTGCAACGCGTGTGGATTGAGGAGGTGCCTTCTGATCTGAAGGATGCCCTAGTGCTACCACTGTACAAGAGCAAAGGGAGCAAGCAGCGTTGTACGAATTATTGTGACATCAAATTTTGTGGGCAAGGTGATTGCCCGAATCCTGCTCAACAGCATTGTCAATCAGGTTGTGGAACCTAATGTGACGGAAGCCCAATCTGGATTCCATTCGGGTCGTAACTCCATCGATATGGTGTTTGCGGCTCATCAGTCGCAGCAGAAGTGCAGAGAACGACACCAGTCTTTGCACTAGCTTTTTGTTGAGTTCACCAAAGCATTTGATACGGCAAACCGCAAAGCATTGTGGCGGGTGTTGGGTAAGTTTGATTGCTCGCTCAAGTTTATAAGTTTAATTGAATGTTTGCACAGTGGTATGAGGGCGAGGGTACAGCTGAGTGGAAAGACCTCGGATGAGTTTGCAGTTGTTTCTGGTGTGAAGCAAGGCTGTGCCTTAGCCCCTGCCCTGTTTATTATTTATCTTCATGCCATGATGTCTTGTATTTTTGAATCGGCTTGTGCTTACGGTGTTCGTGTGGAGCACTGTATTGATGGTGGGTTGTTGAACATCCGTCGTTTCAGTGCGAGAACTCTAGTCTGTGAGACAACTATCCGTATGTTGTTGTTTACTGACGACTGTGCGTTGTTTTCACACAGCGCGAATGAGTTGCAGCACAAGACTAATGCTCTAGCTTCGACAGGGGCCAAATTCGGGCTCACCACCAACACAAGTAAAACTGTCTGTCTCTTTCAGTCTTCAACAGAGATGCAATTTTCAATATGGCTGCAAATCAGCGTTGATGCTGAAGTATTGGGGACAACTACTTGTTTTTAATACCTTGGGAGTGTGATGCCGAATGAACAGCAGATACACAGTGAGCTTATTATCCGCGTCTCGAAGGCAGCGGCGACATTCAGGAATCTAGAGTGCCGAGTGTGGAACAACCATGAGCTTACTGTTGCCACGAAGCTGATGGTGCACAAATCCATGGTGCTGTCCGTTCTTCTATACGGCAGTATAGCATGGACGATGTACCGGCGAGATGTGATATATCTCGAGCGGTTCCATCAACAATGTTTGCGACGGATTCTGCACACCGGTTGCTACGACAGAGTTGTAGACACGGAAGTGTTGCGCCGAAATGGAATGTACGCAGTAGACTGCATACTTTTGCTGAGACACCTGAGATGGCTCGGTCAGATGAGACGTATGGATGACGCGGATACCGAAACAACTATTATACGGTCAGTTGAGTATTGGGAAGTGGCATGTGGGCAAACGGAAGTTACGTTACCAGGACATGATCAACGTGAGCCTCTCACGTTCTAATCTTGATTGCAGGTCATGAGAATCGAAGGCGATTGATCGGCGTGCATGGTGCGATCTAATCACGAAGGCCGTTGCCAAGGTGCAGGAGAAAGACCTCATACATGCAGAGAAGAAGCAGCAATTGCGCAAGCGATACGCGCCGATGGGTTGTACTCCATCAACATCGAGCGCATGGTGCTGAAACACATGTGGTCGCGAGTGCCTGAGTCAGGCAGGCCTAGTGAGCCATGAGCCAGGCCACTCGGGACCACTACCGAAGCGACGACGGGTCCTGCTAAGAACGTAGACAGAAGCGGTGCAACATTTGTAGGTACGCTGCATTAGACTTACTAACCGCTTGCACGCATGCTGGGTCTCTTTATTTCAGGTGGTGGGTTTGCTATATAGTCTCATTATTGCCTACGTGAAGCATCATTTATTAAGTTGCACACGTCGCTAAAGTTAATGGTAGTTAACTTTGATAACATTTTCGTGATTGTGACATTTTCTTAGAGTATATTTTCGGACGTCTGGAAACTATAGCAGATTTTCTGGCAACCAATTTATTTCATATGCTCATTTACTAAATAGCTATGTCGGCATATCTGTAAGAATTATTTGATGTACTTTATTTGATGTTGTCGTTCCAAATGATTGGCTGTTGCTTGATATCCCCGATGTGGCTGCGGTTGATGTGCATGTTTACAAAGTGCCTACCTGTCTAGTACTTACGACCTCGTCCATACTGGCTCCAGGAGACAGTTGGTCGTTGCTGAAGGGGACGGGGTGCACGGTCCTTGTGGTCGTGCTAGGCTCGAAAAGTGGATTCGTGTACTCAGTGTGGAGCGGACTACGGTCCAGCCACGACCTTGTGTGCGATTGATTTCCAAATACAGTGGGCTCGTGGATTTTGAGCGGTTCTCCGAGCTGAGTGATTATTGTGCAGACGTTTCGTTGCCTGACTAGGCAACATCATCAGTGCGGTTTCAGGGGCCTGGTTCGCAGTGCCTCGTAAGCGACTTCAATGTCCAAGTGCTTACTGATCGAGTTCTGCTTTGAATGCCAGGCTTCAATGAACTCACGTGCTTGCCGGCTTTTAGCCCTTCCGAGGATACTGGTATGCTCTATGTCGAATTGATGGTTCTCAGCATCCATGTGCACTGACATCAGGGAGTTCTGATCGTGCCGACGTATGGCTAGGCTGTGTTCGTGTAGCCTTGTGCCAAGCGTTCTCCCAGTCTGTCCCACGTAGAATTTGTCGCAGTTACGACAGCAGATCTTATAAATCACACCAGTTTCTTTTTCTTTGATAAGTTTATCTTTCACCTTGAAGAGTTTACTGCGAATGGTTTCCGTTGGCTGGTGTGCAACTTTGACTCCAAAAGGCAATAAAAACCTCGCTGCCATTTCAGAGATACCGTTGATATAGGGAAGTGTTGTTCTCTTTTCAGCAAGTACATTTGTCGAGGTGTGTTGAGTAACCTTTTGTGATGCGAGGCAGCGTAGAATGAAGCCTTTTGTGTACGAGTTCCGCTTGAACAGTTGAAGAGATTATCTTCCTCCGCCCGTCTCAGCTGCGGTGTGCTACAGTGGGTTTGTGCTCGTTTGAAAAGGGTTTGCACGCAGCTGCGTTTGTGGGCTGCCGGATGATTGCTGCCGTAGTTGAGGATCTGATCCGTATGCGTAGATTTTCGGTAGACTGTTGTTTCCAATCGTTCAGCACCAGTCCGTCATATGAGAACGTCTAAGAATGGTAACTGTTCGTTGTTCTCCTCCCCCTGGTGAATTGGATGCCATCGAACACACTGTTGATTAGTTCGTGTTTCCTCCAATTTGGAACGTTTGAGGATGACGAAGGTGTCGTCTACGTATCGTACCCAAAGTTTTGGTCTTGCGATCGGAAGTGCTATTTGTTCCAGTGCCTGCATCACTGCCTCGGCTATTAGACCAGAGATCGGCGATCCCATTGGTGTGCATTCAAAGCAGAACTCGATCAGTAAGCACTTGGACATTGAAGTCGCTTACGAGGCACTGCGAACCAGGCCCCTGAAACCGCACTGATGATGTTGCCTAGTCAGGCAACGAAACGTCTGCACAATAATCACTCAGTTCGGAGAACCACTCAAAATCCGCATCCGCACCCCGAGCTACGCATAGTTTCATTTACAGTGGGCTTGTGTTTGCCTGTGAAGAAGTGTGGGCCGGCTCTGTTGATGTAACGTGGCTCCAAATCACATACCTCCAGGTCTTATTCCTTCGGGTTTACACTGGATAGGGGGTACGTGGTTGGAGCTGTGGGTGGTACAGCGCAAGCCATCCATGGTCCCTCGGTAGGCGCAAGCGTCCTGTGGCTGACCACAGTGAAAGGAAAACCGAAACCGGATGTCGCCAAGCAAGTAAATAAATAATAGGTAAGTAGATCACTATTACGTCTGACTTACAAAATGGCAGCTGTTTATATGACATGACGGACTACAGGACCGGCCCAAAATGTATATGGAAACGATGTTCACTGAAACAATCGCATGCTGCAGAACCCGATGCGAAGCAAAGAAAGGTCTTAACACACCATAAAATAGGTGGCCAATGCTTTGACAAATTCGAGATAGAAAACCAAAATAACAAAACGGACCATTTAACACCAGCAAAGTGAATACAGCAACCAAACAGACTTACATTCAAGAATTTGATTAGCGCACCCAGGCAAACCAAGCTGCGATGCTCTATAACGTTGAAAGGAAGATGAAGACATTTATTGGCATAGGACGCAGTGGTTAAGATGGGGAGACTGAATAAATAAATAAATGGTATATTCTTTATAGCATGAGGCACACCGGTAAACAGTGCGAACGAACATAGCCGCTTTAGAATAATAAAAATATTCTGCTTAATAAAGGCAAAACCGAAATTTTTGTAAATTATATGTGTGAGAATTTTGTCGGATACTAGTGGGATCCAAAAATATGATAGGCTGATGCACGGAAAAACCGAGGTTACAATTATGGTGTTAATCGCTAAGGTTCGGCGTGATTTAGCCATGTAGTGATCCGTGGTTTTATGAGCACAGGAGTCAAAAGAAAAGGTTCGTACGATTGTTTCCGATTAAAGGACAGGAAAATTCGGGGCATCATCAAGACAATCTCCATATGGAAATCTGTCAGGATCTCTACTGCAGGAAGGGATTGTTGAAGTTACATGTAAAAGACTGATAAGTGAGCTTGTTGGAACGGGGTACGGACTCCATCGCCCATCTGTAAATTAGGAATCCATGTGATATCCTCCAGGTAAACACTTGTGAATATGAGGCAAGTGTTGTATCAGAAGGTAAATGTAAGTAATATAGTGTAGAAGGCGTGTAGAAAGTACAACTGAAAAGAGTGACGTGAACGCAACAGTACCTAGGATGGAGTTCAAGTCTGGTTACATACAATGTTCCACTAGAACTATGGCAGCAAAAGTTTAAAAAGCGGAACACAATAGCAAAAGAAAACGAAGCATTTAAAAAATTTTGCTTTGGAGGTTTTTATGTGTTCTATTGGAGGTTAACTAATAAATTATGTAGTAGAACAAAACTGACGCCATTTATATCTGTTGCGGGCTATAACATCCAACGTTTACAACCACTGGGAGTCCGAGTTGCATTGTCTCCAGCCTGAAAGTTGGGACAGTTCGAGGGATGCTAAGCTTAAAGTTGCCTTCTTCATGCTTCATCTCTAGGTCATTGGTTGTCCACCGCGGCACATTACCCAGTAGTTCCCAGGAAGCGCACATCACGCTCGGAGGGGAAGGCGATAGGCTTACATGCGTAATACGTGGCCGAGTCAGCGCATGCAGTGTCAGAGAATAATATTTTGGAGACAATGGATTTTCGCTTCAAGCACTCGGTCTCGGAGTTCTTTGCTGCTTACGTGATGTTGCCAACACATGCTAGCAATCCAACTAAAGCAATGGTTGTCCAAAACTGACAACCGATTCAAGTATTCCGAGTGCACGGGCCGTCTCACAGCCGTACAAGAGAACCGCACGGACAGAAACAATGTACACCTAACCTTGAGCATGAGATTGACATCGCGAAGACGCCATAGGCGTTTCAGTTTGATAAATGCAAGGCGGGCCATCGCGATCTGTTACGAGACTTCATCTCCAACACCGCTGGCAGCCGTGATGCAACCCGCTAAATAAGTGAAGCAAGGGACTTGTTACAGGACGTCACTAGCAATTATAAGGGCAGGCACAAACATATGACAATCCTGGAGGCTTTATATTTGCCTGGGATGAAATACAGATCATATTTAGACACCCCCATCGCTAAGCAGTTCAAAGTGCTTTGGACGACTTGTGGATCGTCCCCAAGCAAAGGCGTAGTCCAAGTCCGCGACTTGGTCATCTGGGAGAAAGGCAATGCCGCAGTTTTGGACGCCTACCAAGGCTCTTTGGATGATATATTCAGTGGCAAAATTGAAGGAGAAAGGGGAAATAGGACAAACATGGCGAACCCCGCTGGTGACGTCAAATGAAGAGGAAAGCCTATCGTAAGCCTGAGTTCGCCAGACGTGCGACCGCATTGTTCCTTCAGGTTGGTTACAAACCTGCCGGGCACACTTTTCTTCAGTAAACAGTTTCACAACGCAGATCTATCCACAGAAACAAATACCGCTCGGATATCTAAGAACAATCCAACTGCTGACCGTCAGTGGACATGACGGATTGTAAGGAGTTGGCGGAGTGTGAAGATTTGGTCGGTGCAACTTCGGCCAGGACAAAAACTGGCTTGTTCCTTATAGGAAAAGCCCACTTTAGTCGCTGAAAGTTTGAGACGTATGACAGACACGAAGATCTTGGACGCAACAGAGATCAAGGAAATTCCGCGGTAATTGGCGCAATCTTCCCAGCAGCCTTTCTTGTGAATCGGGACAACGACCGATTCTACCTATGAGTTTGGAACCTTCTCATCAGTCCAAACCTCCGTGAACGGCGATAGGATTTCGCTGACAAGTACATTCGCGCCATATTTGAATAGAGCCCGGTGTAGACTGTCAGGACCGGGAGCTTTAAATCTTTCAAGGATTGGATTTTGCTTAGCATATCTGCTTCGATAACAGGATCTTTGGGGACAGGCCAACCAACAGCCGAGGGAAACGGAGGAGACAAGTAGTGTCTTGCCGAGGAACCTGGGTAGATTGATTATTTTCGTGCCGTCTGACATACAGATTGGCTGATTGATAATGTGGGAACTATTTCCAATTGCCGTGACGAGGTAAACTGCGGAAGCTCCCAGCGGATGCAGCGACTTCCATAACAGTAGCTCATTTCGACCACCAGGATTCAATTGTTGATAGATCGACAGAGTTCATTGTGCTCCAAACCGGCGAGCACAGCCCGTCGACAATCAAGCAACCTTAATGACCTTGCCGAGATACAGCTTTTGGTTGTGCAGTGGGCGACACTGAAGTTGGAAAAACCGGCGGACAACATGGTCTGTTGTACACCTGACCAGTGTTAACATCCAGAGTAGGAGAGAGAGTAAAATTTTCACGAAGCCTCTGTTGATAATCCATTCTCACCGTTAAGTCCTCCGAAATGTTCAGATGGACTTGTTTGACCGTAGGTGAGCCACCGAAACGCATGCAAACACATGCAAACACACCAATACATGATCAGTTTCAACGCAAGTTGCCCAGCATGATCGGCAACCGCGTAGACTGCTGCGTCACCTGCGACGTATGACATCAGCAGTACTCCCGTACGCAGCGCTGACGCTTCGCTGCCGCGCAACCACCACGTCGCGCGTGTGCTAAGGATACTGTGAGAGTCGCCCAATCTTATACGCAGGCTTGGACTTGCGATCTAAGGATTACAAGACAGGCTTGTGATTCTTAAGGCCACTGCTCGGCCCTGTGACTTATGGTTATGAGATCAATATGTGATCAGAGCTGAGTTGACGATGGAGAATGCCAGGTGGCAGAGTGACGAAAGCTCGTATTGGAGAGAGAAAGTTGGTGGTTAGCACATAGAGTGAAAAGTCTCTCCGTTATCACATCAACCGATTTTGTGAAGAATCAGAGAAGAATGAGTGTTGCCCGACCGAAAACACTACACTCCAAGACGTATAGCGACCTTATTTGATAACATTAGGTAGAGATAGCAGGTATCGAACCCGGGACCAATGGGATGTTAGCCGAAAGCTCTACTCCTATCGCCACTGAGTCACGACGCGCGAGGTTTAAAACAACGGTTAAGAACTGATTGGAGGGTCATTCTGAAGTACTCGTTTTGTGAGTAGATTGCGGCGCGCAATCTCAATGTGGACAACGATTCGCGTTGAAGCGAACGTTGATCAAATCGATCACTGAGGTGTAACTACCGAAGCAGAGGTTGCCCACCCAAAATCTGTACTCTAAGACACGTCACGACCTTATTTTATCACATCAAGATAGATACAAAGTAACAACATGTCCGCCATTGAGTACCGACGAGCTCACCAATGACAAGAATGGCATTGTGGTTTGACATAGCAACGTCGAGTTAACGTCACCCCATGTTAAGAGTCGGTTTCGTGGTAGGGTGCCCACGAACTGTCCGTAGGAGCACACTTGCTCCCTACTGCGCCGCTTTCACACACACGAATAGTTTGTCCGCTTTGGCCAGACAGGTCCTATGACTGGTTGCATTATTGGGTCCCCGGCTTAACGCTGACTCCATTTTTTGAGTTTAAACGATGAGGCTGAGGTATTGCCGTCGGGAAGCAGAGGCCAGAAAAGCGAATGAGAGCTGTACAATACTGGAATCAGAAGAGGGCTTTAGAAATGCCCTAGATACGCTTGGGAATCGATTTAGTCACCCACATCCTATAGCCCATGCTCATATCAATCAATTACTGGAAGGAAATGTGAAAAAACAACGATGCAGGTGCCATCAACAATCGGGCTAGTCAGCTGAAGGCGTGTGCCACACAGTTAAGCAACACAATAACGAAACGGGTCTGAACACCACGGTGAGGATTGCTGCGGGAGTGGGGCAGTTACACTTTGCAGCAGGAGTGGTTCAAAAGAACAACAGCGTGAAATCTGCTTCCAGAAATAGCGGAGACCCAGTACTCGGAGGAAGTTTTCCCTAGACGAGACCGCATTTCGAACACGGAATGGCCGGGAAATATTGGAGACCAAATAGTTTACTTAGCGATCGGAAGAATAGACACAGCAAGCCAGAATTTGGCAAAGGTGGTATACTTTGCTCGGCAAATCATTATCTGGGTCAGTGTCCGCATTTTCGTTCTATGGAATCATTCAAGGTGGTTCCGTGATTTCCGCTAAGAACTTGTGTTTGTTGGTTCAAGACTAGGTAAATCGCAGCAGCCCGTAGATCAAAGGGCCATATGCGGTCCTAGTTAATGTGGCCACCGACACTGTGCAACAGGCGATAGTGGATTCAAAAAACATCTGTACTGAACGAGCAGCCCTCGGAGTAATTTCAGTACGAATAAGTAGCGTAGACGGGATAATAATAACCAAGGTTTTACTGGAGTCGGCTGCCGGTCTGCTCCTAAGTGATGAATTACACTTACAGGATTTGAAGCTGAACATGAGGTCATCTTTAGTCATTTCAAAAGCGTTTAGTAACGCCAAAATGAGTTTCACAGTGTTTGAAATGGACATCGGCCCCTAAAATGTAGAGAATTTATTCACGTGATTCAGATATGGTCAGTGAAAAAATACCTAAAGCA